AAAGACTAGCACTCTATGAACTGACTTGAAATCTAACTTATATGTGGACAACAATCACAGTTTTCTGTACAGGCCTTAAATATCATAATGTTTGACCTAATGGCAATGACCTACTTTCCACTCCCACTGGGAATCTGGAGTTATCTTGCCCTTATTTGGATTCTATAGGGATGAAGGGCCAGGGATAGAGATGGGAAATGTCTGCAAAGCAACAGGCCAATTACTCTTACATAGTGGGCAGCTAATGGGGAAGGGGGTGTGGGCCACCAAATCTTACTAATAAGGATGCATGAATGGTTGGTAAATTTTAAACAAAACAAAACAAAAAAAAACAACTTACTACAAAGGCAGGTATCCAGACCCATCTGCTAAATGGAGGGCCAAAAGGATTATCCCTCAGCTTGTAGTGTGAAAGTTTTTAGGGTCAAAGTGTAAGGATGAAGGGTTCTGGATCTCTGGGGGTGGAGTTGTTAAGCAGATCTCAAACATTAGATGTTTTTTCCTGTTAAGAATCCTATACCTCCCAAGTCTGTTAACAATTACAATAACCATGGCAATAGATGAGATTAAAGAGAAAGGGAGCTTTGTAGGTGGTCTAGAGTCAAGACCACCTTGACCATACAGACATGCCAACAGTTCATTTTTATGGTCTCCTCTCCAAAGCCCTCCAAACCTCTTTGGCTCAGATAACTCTGCCTATGCCACAGACCTTCTTAGGCTGAGTTCTTGGGTAAAAGCTTCCCTTTCCAGTCCTCACTGTCCTGAACTGGGGGCATGGATCTCAGTCATGGACTGCTAAATGTATAGCAGGAGGTGAGAGGAAGGAACACCTGCTGTTACCCCGCCATACTGAATCTTATCCCAGAGACATGTCCTAACTTGACCTCAATTCGGAAACTTCTATGGGACCTAGATTTGTGAAAGGGGGACACAAGTTCCTGGAGCAGACTCGAAAAAAGTGAGTCTGAATACCTGGCAAGAGGTTGAGTCTGCAAACTGGGAAGCGGGGGGGGGGGGGGGGGAACCTCTGGGAAGATCCCCCCCATCCCTGAAATAGGTTGGCAACTAGGGTAGGACCCGTGATTCTACACAAGAGGTTCTTCCAGGGCGGCCCCAGGCCCCAGCCAGGGAAGATAAGCCAGAACGATGACGGGGGGCAGGGTTGAGAGATAGGGAGGCCAGAGCTCAGCTACCCCGGTAGGGAGAACAAAAGCTGAGTTGCAGCCGCCTCCGCTGCTGCCGCGGGCCGAGCTCTTTGTGACACTTTGTTTGGGACGCAGAGAGGGAAGCACCCCCATCCTCCCCCCTCCCCCAACCCCCACTCCCGGAGAGTTTGGGTTCCTTCCCCCCTCTTTCCCACTGGCCCTACCTGGGCCTGGGGGAGCGCTCATCCAGTCAGGTTGGCGGCTATCAGCCCTGAAACCACCCTCCCCCCCCAGGGCCCCTCGCGCCCAGCCTCGGGGCCCCTACAAAGACACTCGCCACCCCCGCCATCAGCCCCCACCCCGCTAGCCTTTCCCCGGCGGAGTCCGCCCCCCCCGATCCCCCACTTGCCCCCCCTCCCTCGGGGCCCCCCTAGCTCTCCAGGTTTCTAAGGCCGCCACCCCCAGCCCGCCCCCCAGGAGCTCTGGGCGAAGTTTGCTCGGGGCCGAGCCGGCGCCCCTCCCCCGCCCCCGCCCCCT